CAATCACTAAGACAAACAAATTTGTTTACATTTATGGGAGATAATGCTGCTGGCTTCTTATTTACAATGTCACCTGAAAGTGAGAACAGGTGTTCACGTGGCACTTTTGTAGCTGGCATTGCAAGGTATTTACGTACCAGATATGCTAAACATTTGTATGCCCCTTCATGCTTCGGCCACCATTCCAGAGGACATGCTTCCATGCTGATGACACTCGTAAAAAAAAAAATATGTTAATTACATTTTTGACTGAATTCCTTGGGGGAGAATAGTATGTCTCTTGCTCTGTTTTCCCCACATTCTGCCATATATTTTATGTTATAGCAGTCTCGGATGATGACCCAGCACATGTTGTTCATTTTAAGAACACGTTCACTGCAGATTTGACAAAACGCACAGGTACCAATGTGAGATTTCTAAAGATAGCTACAGCACTCGACTCAAGCTTTAAGAATCTGAAGATAAGAATCTGGAATGCCTTCCAAAATCTGAGAGGGATGAGGTGTGGAGCATGCTTTCAGACGTCTTAAAAGAGCAACACTCTGATGTGGAAACTACAGAACCAGAACCACCAAAAAAGAAAATCAACCTTCTGCTGGTGGCATCTGACTCAGATGATGAAAATAAACATGTTGGTCCGCACTCCTTTGGATCATTATCCAGTAGAACCTGTCATCAGCATGGATGCATGTCCTCTGGAATGGTGGTTGAAGCATAAAGGGACATATGAATCTTTAGCGCATCTGGCACGTAAATACCTTTCAATGCCGGCTACAACAGTGCCATGTGAACACATGTTCTCACTTTCAGGTGACATTGTAAACAAGAAGCGGGGAGCATTATCTCCTGCAAATGTAAACAAACCTGTTTGTCTGAGTGACTGGCTAAAGAAGAAGTAGGACTGAGTGGACTTGTAGGCGCTAAAGTTTTACATTGTTTTATTTTTGAATGCAGTTATTTTTTGTACATAATTCTAATTTGTAAGTTCAACTTTCATGATAAAGAGTTTGCACTACAGTACTTGTATGAGGTGAATTGAAAAATACTATTTCTTTTGTTTTTTACAGTGCAAATATTTGTAATAAAAAATAAGGTGAACACTGTACATTGTGTTCTGTGTTGTAATTGAAATCAATATATTTGAAAATGTAGAAAACATCCAAAATATTTAAATAAATGATATTCTATTATTGTTTAACAGTGTGATTAATCGCACGATTAATTGCAATTAATTTTTTTAATCGGGTGATTAATCATGATTAATTTTTAATCGTTTGACAGCCCTAGCCATTATATAAATCTATGGTATGCCCACATCTTGAATACTAAGTGCCGTTCTGGTCACTGTATCTCAAAAAAAAATATTAAAATTGGAAAAGGTACAGAGAAGGTCAACAAAAATTACCAGAGATATGGAACAGCTTCTGCAAGAGGAGAGATTAAAAAGACTGGGACTGGTCAGCTTAGAAAAGAGACAACTAATGGGGAATATGATGGAGGCCTATAAAATCATGAACTTGGTGGAGAAAGTGAATAAGGATGCATTATTCACATAACACAAGAATCGGGGTCACCCAATAAAATCAATGGGCAGCAGATTTAAAACAAACATAAGAAAGTATTTCTTCACATAATGCACAGTCAGCCTATGGAACTCTTTGTCAGGAGATGCTGTGAAGGCCAAAACTATAACTAGGTTCAAAAAAGAATTAGATAAATTCATGAAACACAGGTCTGTCAATGGCGGTTAGCCAAAATGGTCAGGGACGCAACCCCATCCCTAAACCTCTGATTGCCAGAAGCTGGGGCTGGATGCCAGGGGTGGATCATTCAATAATTGCCCTGTTCTGTTCATTCCCTCTGAAGCATCTGGCACTGGTCACTGTCAGAAGACTGAATACTGGGCTTGATGAAGCCTGTCTGGCCAGTTTTATGTCATGTTCTTATCTTTGTTTCCTGTGCTCAGTATCTCCCATACACCACTCCCAACTGCAGCTGCTAGTTGTATTGTCTTCGAAGTTCTGCTCTATGGAAGAGTTGTTTTTTAACTCCAGGGACTAGCAGCTAACAATCCCTCATGACTGGCTCACCAAATGTAATGCTTCAAAATGCAGATTCTGTCCTTCGAAAACACTCTATCATCACAACCATACAGCACACCCCTGTAACACAGAGCAGAGACGTAGGGGGTCTGTGCAAAAACAGTGCTCCAAATCAAAGCAACTGCACCCATGCCACAGCACCCCAGGTAAGGGAGTGACTAAAAATGACCACCTCTGGGGAACACAGTTGTGTGTTGTCCAAAATGTTCAACCACTGTGCACTCCCTTTTGTGTACGCCTTATAGCTGCAGGCTCTGCCAGTTCTTCAAAGCATTTCCCTTGACCAACCAGCATTCCCTATGCTTCCCCTGGAAGGAGCCTGTGCTGTTTCTTCAGTCATGTCTTTATTCATGTAGGCACCGGGTGATCCAATATTCATTCCCGTAACATAGCTGCAGCCATCAGAAGCTTGACAACATCAAACACATGGCAATGCTGAAGGGAGGCCTATTGATTTTCAGTGAAAATGCGAGAGTTTGAGTTTTTTCTATGGTTTTGGGAGTGGTTTCCAGATTAGAACCTCCCTGTCACATGCAATTCAGCAGGAGGATCAAGTGATTGCTGCTAATCAGAGAGAGCTAGACAGAGCCAGCCAGTTTTACTGCACTAACATGTACTGCCTGCTTTTCCTCCTACTGGCAGTGCTCCAGAGTTCTGCGGCAAGGCTGGTAGCTTCCTCTATTGTAGTCCTGGGGAGAGAGCTAGGAAGCACAGACCATGGATGGAATAGAATACAAGAAGCAGCAGTAGTGACAGTATGACTTGGGAGAGGAAGAGACAAAGGTGTTCTACACATTTTGGACATTGTTTCTATATGGTGTCACGTATGGGCTGGTTAAGATGTTGAAACATAGGGCTGAGTGACGTGTTCACCCATGTCTATTTCAAGGTGCTAACATTCCCAATCACTGATGCTGCCTGGTTCTTGTATGGGAATGATACTTGCACAGAAGCAGCTCTCACATCTGGAATCTCACCATATATTGAAGCCCTTCCAATGCTATTACAACTTACTACATTGTGACCCATTGTGCAATATGCAGAGCTGTACACAACATATCATGTAGGCAGTGGCTAGCAAGCACAGGTTCTGCTAAGAATTACCCTGCATTACCATGCCATATTATGTCCATATCACAAATACAGTCAATCATGCATACCTTGTATACTTACTGAAGCAAAATGCCTGACTTCACAGATACTATCAATAAAAAGCAATTCCTCTGAGTGTGCCAAAACACTGCAGTCTGCTATTAACCTGAGCATAGGAGTTGGGAATAGGCAGGCAGTCAGATCTAGTCACCATACCATAAACTCACACAGGGTGAAATTTACCCCAGTGCTGAAGTCCAGGACGAGATCAATGCACCACTTTGGTCCTCCAAATAGGGCTGACTGAAAGGATTAACTTCTATTAATAACCAGACAATGAAAGACTTTATCAAAGCAATTGCAAAATCTCATAGGGAAGTCTCTCAGAAATGCATATAAAAGAAAAGCTCTTAAGGAGATCAAGATAGGATGTGCCTACATATTTATCTATTTCATGCTGGTTTGAATCACCATTGTGACTGAAGTCTCTTATTTTTCGAGGAGTCAATCTCTTGTCTGAGGATTTACGAAAGCTTGAAAGTGCTATACTAAAACTCAGAAATGAAAGTCAATCAGGACCCTCCAAAGAGGAAATGCATGCTTAGGGGAGACAAATTTGAAGGAGTCAATATTTCTGGGTCTCCATCACCAGAGCTGCAGAAAAATAAGAGCTACACACTTGATGCCAAATTGAACAGGCTATGTCAAGTAGCATTCACATGGTTTTAATGCTTGGACTCCACACAGAAGAGTAGTGATAAAAAAGAATTGTCCGATTATGTGGTTATATATGACCACCTGCTAGGTTGCTTTACACAGGTATGAAGTGAAGAAGAAAAGGAAAGTGCACTCTAGGTCAGTTTGCCTTTAAAATTACCCTTAAATACCATCAAGTCCCAGACAATGGTCAAGTCAGGATATATGTTTATTTTAAATGAGAACTGTTGATTAAAAACATACTTAACAGATAATGACAAGGGCACCTATGTAACTTTAAAGACCAGGAGGAACATTCAGTTTATATATTGAAAAACCAATGTGAAGTGGCAGTTCAAGATAAACTTAAGCAGAGTGTGTTGCAAGAACTAGGGACCAGATCCACAAAGATACTTAGGAACTTAAACCTCAGACAAACCTAAATCCCAGTTTTAGGCTCCACTGCAATCCACAAAATCCCCATTTGGCTGCTGCCTAACCCTGTAGGCACTGAGGGGGAGATCTGCAGCAATCTCGGAACAAAAACAAGACTATACCTTAAAGACCACCTGTAAGTATCTAGAGAGCGCAGTCCTTGTGTTCCCCCTCCATCACAGGGATGGTAGCTGTCCTTGAGCCTTGAAGGGGTTGACTGGCAAGATTCCTAGTCCTCTTCCCTACAATGCACTTTAGCACAACAACAGTCTGGCCCATGGACAATATTTCACAGAACAGCCACTAAAACAAGGCAGAACTAGTACTATTTAAAGATTAATTGAATCCAGTGTGTACACTGTAGTTTGGAGTTATATATTTTTGAACTCACTCTCTAGGCATTTAGACCATGCCACCACCACAGCAGCTCCTTGTATATGGCTACCCATGTACTGGATTTCCAACATGCTGCAAATTGCACTTTTTTCTCCTAAATTAATTTTGTAGCAATTAAATTCTTTGGGGAACAAGGAAGGTTTCTTTATTTGGTGACCTTTGCTCAACAGGGACAGCCAGTTAATAGGGTCAAACTGGAATCCATTGAGGACTGTTGGCCAATCTTCAGAAAAGTTGTGGTTCTCCATATGCCAGAGGATACAAAAACATCCTCCCAGAGATAAAGGCACTTGGCATGGTGACTATTTTTTATGTCGCTTTTGCCGTTCCACTGCTGTACGCAAGGCTTGAAGAATCAGGTGTTTGTTATTCAGGATGTTGTACTCAGTCAGTTTAACCAGCTGATCATAATCTTGCTCCTTGTATGTGACTGAATATGTAGAATAGGGGGAAAAGCGACTGGTGAGATCAACTTTGCCCTCCTCCATCTCTAAGCTGGAGCGCTTCACACCTGGGGAAAAAATTCAACAGGACATTGCTGTAGTATTGGGCTTATTTCTGTCATGTACCACCAGTAACAGCCCAGAGAAGGAGATTTCTCTGCAATAAGAGCGCTCACTCATTTAAATGCTCTGGGCATGTTTTACAATCGTTTCTGTTGCAATCCAGTAATTTGATCCCTGGATCAGGGGAATGTCAGTTGCCTGATGTGCTGAAGGGAGAGGTATAGGTGACTATCTCTATGATTGTCTCCTGTTATCTGCTCATAACAGCCTTAGAGAAGTCTTCACATGTGACTCAAGCAGGAAAGGGAAATACTGACATGGCAAATGGCAGGATTTGGGGAAGGGGAATGGAACCAAAAGAAGAGTAGAAGCCTCAAAAGGTATTTAATAGGTGAAACAGTGTCCCATTCAATGGAAAGGCTATTCCTACTGAAAAGAGGAATAGTGAGCCAGTCAGTGAATAGGTTATTTACATGGAGGCTCAGAGTTGTGACACTGGCCTTTTTATACTTGGGACAGAGACCCAACATTAGAGACACCAAAAGAAGGAAAGAAAAGTCTGCTAAAAGAGAAGGAAGCTTGTAATTATTTTGGGTTTTCTCCTTAAATGTACATTTCCTTTGACCTTAGTTTAAAGATTTTGCATTTTTATTACAATTTACACTAATATACAGCAAGATAACTAGGGGTGTGTAACAGATGAAGGTGAATATGGAAGTAAAACAGGGTCCTATTCTTCTTAATAAGAAATATGTAATAGAACTAAGTAAAAATGTTAAGTTAGGCAATGGAGAGGTTTGTTGTAGGGAAATGAACAAGTGGAGAGGAATGAATTAAAGAATGAAATTCAATCTGTTGATAGGCTAGCCAGCGTGGCCTTCATTGAATGCTTGGCTACTGCTGATAACTTACCAGGTGCTTTGTAACTTTGGTAGGTGTCATTCACTAATGGGAAAAATAGCAATATAGGAGCTCCTGGAGTCTCGGCATCGTCGAAGAGGTAGCACTCCTTTAGGTTTTTCCTCTCTTCTTCACTCAGCGCAACTTTGGGGAATGGGATTCCTTGTTCTGAGTAGTACTTACAGGACTGGTCCAAAGGCTGTATCAAGGAAGAGAACAATATGAGAACCCAAAGAATAGGCTGAGATCAGGATTTCCTGAAGTACAGCAACTATGATTCTATGATTCTTTGAACTAATGCTAAATTGTGCTGGGCTACCTCTGGGATAGCACTGGCTTTCCTCTTGGAAAGAATGTGGTTTGAGAAACATACATTATATGAAAATACATGGATAGGTTTTTTAATTTTCCCTGGAGTACTCAACAAAAAACACAGAGTACCACAAAAGAAAATGGTTAGGTTACAGGTTGTGAATACAACTTTAAGATACAGCATTAAGCTAAAATACTGTGGTTCAGAATACTTAACACAGGGCTTTTAATAGGAACAATATCACTAAAAACTTAAGACAAATAACTATTACTGAAGAAAACAGAATAATCTGATTTCTCTCACCAGTATCTGTGATCCTGCACTGTAATTTAAATGCAGGATAACATCCACTTTCCTCTCTGGCCTCAAAAGTGGAGGGCAGCTGGTATTGATGAAGAATCCAGTATCTATCAGGGACAGGTATTCTGCTGTTTCAGTCAGCTGGTTGGGTGATGTGTCCAGCACAGTATCTAAAAGGAAAATATTTCTTGCCTTAAGGGAAATCGCAGAAGAGCAGTTTGCTGATGCTCTGATGAACACACTGTTCAAGAAAAAATGGTATTCAGCCCCATTCAACATTTCTAATTTCATTAGACATTTGATAAACTATTTACATCACTATTGCTCAGCCTTAAATTAGAACAACTATTTTCTCTGATGTCAGACTCTCCATGGTCATTCTATTCCTGGCTCATTCAAACTGTGCTAGTTCACCCATCCTCCCTCCCACTTTCCCCCCCTTTTTCTTTTGGATGCATTTATTTGATATATATGTGTGTGTGTGTGTGTGTGTGTGTGTGTATTAAGGCAAAGTTACAAGAAAACATTAACACACTACATTGCACATTACATGTTCAGGATCAGATTAATATTCAAAGAACTTGGCTAAAGATTGTGGCTTGCTGGCTTGGGAGCCCTTCTCCTATGAGTACACTAGAAAGGGTGACCAAATTCCTAAATACTTATCCTCTTTTTGATGTTTCTCTCATGTACGTACTTGCTTTGAAAGCTTTTCCATTACAAGATCAGTCTATATTTTACTTTACCACAGTACCATAGGAGGGGTCATATTTTTCCAATAATGTGCAATACAGTGTATGTCTACACTGCAATTAAAAACCCGTGGCTGGTGTGTGCCAGCTGAGAGGCTCACAGGGCTCAGGCTGTGGGGCTGTTTAATTGCAGTGAAGACTTCCAGGCTTGGGCTGGAGGCCGGGCTCTGGGACCCTGTGAGAGTCCCAGAGCCTGGAAGGCTTCACTGCAATTAAATAGCCCAAGCCCCATGAGCCAGTACAGGCCAGCCACGGGTGTCTAATTGCAGTGTAGACATAACCACAGAATTTAGCTGCTAACAGTAAAAATAAATTAATTTTTTGTTCTGTTTAAAATGCAGATCCTTTACTGGAGCATTAAATAAGCAGGTCAGGGGTCTCTAGGAAGCCGGCATTTAGTCCTTTTGACCTGCAGTGGCACCCTCTTCTAATGATCAAAGATTTCTTCTGTCTACCCACTAAGGCCCAGAGGCTCAAACTCCCTAAATACCTTTGAGAGTCTGGCCTTAATGTCTCCTCTCAGTTCATAAAGACTGTGAATGCTGCCAACACACTGAGCCAAACTATGGAGATTTAATCAACCAGCTACAGCCCAAAGAGAAATGAGCTTGAACCCCATCAAATCCATGTCACTAAAGATTTTCAGCCCTGTATAGTTCAATTGATTGATCAAACAATTCTGTTTAAAAGTAGATTCAACCTTTGGCATGTAGGGAAGCTGGGGGGGAGGGGAGAGGGTTGAGGGGAAAGTGGGAATTGTTTGGTTTGGTTTGTTGTTAAATAAAATCCGTTCATTCTCTCCCAAGTCACGCAGATTTCCTCACTATATCGCAGACCTCAAATTCCTGCAAAGGATGCTGCTGAAAGGCAAGTGCTATTACCTTTCCATCTACAAAACTTGTCATTCTCTAGGTAGTCATTATGCAGCTGGAGGCCTTTCAGGAAACTGTGGTACTGGGCAACTGACGTGCGCTCTGTAATGGCACCACGAAGAACACGGGAAAGGGGGCTTGCCGTGGTGAATACTTGAGTCTTCTGTTCGTGTGGCCTCATAGGTAGGACGGGCTCTTCCTCTGCAAAAGAAGTAACTAAAGGGTTTGTTTGCCTAGATAAATGTTTCCGAGGAGCCCCCAAAATAGCAATAATAAACAATAACAATCTCTACGCTATTAGTTTATGGTGTCCATGATGAAAGGTCTCACGAGCACCTTAACAAAAGGTAGATAAACATTTTTTTGATCTATTAAGACAAAATTTCTTAAGATACCCCAGGGCTGGATTAAAAACAAAGCCCTAACATCCAATAAGCCATACAACGTCACACCGCCTTCAAATCATAATCCTGAAAAATAAATCAAGTTGAACTGTATTTGTTAACTTAAAAATTCAGCAAATCTTGATGTGGTGTTTTTTGAGTCTCTAATTAGCTGCAACCCAGGATCATTATTCTTGAATATATTTACTCTCTTACATATTCAGTGATTATTGCAGTGATCAAAGGGCAGGAACAATATCAATGGGTTATTCAGAAGTGATCCCATGATGGTAGTCAATATTAGTCTTTTGAAACTGGTTCCTTCCAGGCAAGATAAAATGCCCCTGCAGATTTTTAAAAATAGAACTCCAAAAAGCAAGTGCATGGTTTACACAACAAATGGGTGTGAAGCATAATGATAAATAAATGGTAAGGCAGAGGTACAAACTTACCAATATCATTTACTCTGTCTCGGGTCCACCTGTGCCAAAAGTCCTCTGAAGTGTGGGACAAATTCCAGATATATAACAGATTCAGGGAAAATAAACTACTCCACATGCCTGTGAAAGGAGAGCGAGATCAGTATTGCCAACCCTAAACATTAAAAAATCGTAAGTCAGGCCCTCCAAAATCATAAAAGATTGGATTAAAAATAATGAGATTTGTTTTTAAATAAGAAATGTTGAGTTATTTATATTTGTTTTCTGCTTTTTTAAATCTTTAGGGCATTCTTGGTGCACATTTTCAAGCTTTGCTCTAAAACCATGAGGGCTAAGAAATATTTTTTTAAATGAAAGTTGCACTTCTCATGTACTCCCATGATTCTGGGCTTCAAGAAAAAACACACCACAGAACTCAAGACTTGTGATAAAATCATGAGAGTGGGCCATGCTAGAGATTTTATGGAGACCTATATGATCAAGTCTTGGGAGCATTTAATTGAAAATTGCCTTTTTATCCTTCCATCTGAAGTTGTTCCCTTACCTTCTATTTTTTGCAGGCATCTGTCTCTACACAATTCCAAACTTCTGCTTTTAATATCTGACTTGGGGTCTTTAGATTCTAAGGACCAGATTGTGTCTGGCTTTGTGTGGGTGTGCAGGTAGGTTGCAAAGAATCTTCCTCTCTTGCGTATGCCTTGAAAGGGGCCATGACAGTGCCTGTGCTCTGGGAAATGCAGGGATGCTCTTTTCTCATGTATGCTGCTCTCTCTGTAGACCAGGTCTGGTGCACCAAGGGAACAATTTTAACCATTTTAAAGCATGGTGCAGCTTGCATAGTCATGCACAACTGAGAGCTTGAAAAGGAATTTATGACTCTTAGGGCACAATGCCCCCCCAGCCCCCACCCTCCCAAGTGATTCCTCGAGCAGTGCTGTTCTTTACAGGTCTCTGCCTGAATGGTACAATTTTACCCAACTCTAATTCAGATAGTCTGTCACAGTGAGGGTTATAGGTCAAATCCATCATAAGATGGAAGCCTTCTTGTATCTCTCCCAGGGCCGCCCAGAGGATTCAGGGGGCCTGGGGCAAAGCAATTTCAGGGGCCCCTTCCATAAAAAAAGTTGCAATACCATAGAATACTATATTCTCGTGGGGGCCCCTGTGGGGCCTGGGGCAAATTGCCCCACTTGCCCATCCTCCACCCCCCTCTGGGCAGCCCTGATCTCTCCAGATCACCCATTCTCTTCCTTCCCACATCATTTTTCTTTTCTCTGTTGCTTACAGCTCTTAATTTCTCTTCCCCTTTTCAGGAGTGTATTAACTCTGCAGAATTTTGAAATACAGGCAGCACTGGTATGTTGGATTCTCAAAAGGGTCAGTTTTATTCTATTATTTTCTACATATCACTGGTGTGCTTGTGTTGCAGAGCATTACATTTCCACAGACCATGTGAGGTTTTGTCACCTTTTGTCACGCTGTTACAGCGATGGAGATCTCACTGACTCCTTTCCCATTTCAAATGGAGTCAAACAAGGCTGTGTCCTTGCCCCTGTACTCTTCAACCTTTTCTTCACCCAAGTTCTCAACCATGCTATAAATGAGTTCAACAGAGGCATATAGATCAGATACAGACACGACGGCTCAGTCTTCAATTTTATAAGGCTTAAAGCAAAAACAAAAGTAACAGAACTACTAATAAGAGAAGCACTCTTTGCAGATGATTGTGCCCTCCTAGCACACACAGAGGGAGATCTCCAGTTCATTGTAGATTGCTTCGCTAAAGCATCAAAATTATTTGGCCTTACAATCAGTCTAGAGAAAAATGTGGTGTTGCATCAATCATCTTCACCGCTCTGTGCCATATCCCCTAGCATATCCATTAGTGGAATCCAACTAAAGAAAGTTGACAGTTTTACCCATCTCGGCAGCAATATCTCCAATGATGGATCTCTTGATAAACAAATCACAAACAGGATACAGACAGCTTCTCAGTCATTAGGAAAGCTATGTAACAAAGTCCTGAAATCCCACAACATAACCCTCTCAACAAAAATAAAACTTTATAATGCTTTTGTGCTCACATCTCTCCTCTATGGCTGTGAGACCTGGACACCATACAAATGGCATATCAAACAGCTAGAGACCTTCCATATCTGCTCACCATTATGGGGATCCACTGGCAGGACAAAATAACCAACCTGGAGGTTCTCCAAAAGTCAAATGCCACAAGCATCGAGGCCATGCTGATAAAAGCCCAACTACGCTGGGTTAGACACATCATTAGGATGCCTGAATATCGACTCCCCAGAAAAAAATTCTATGGAGAATTGGCACAAGGACACCAGAATCAAGGCCACCCCAGAAAGCACTACAAGGA